AAGATTAGTAGCACACCACATCTGGGTTGCAGCGGCACACACACACACACACACTATACAAATGGAATCAGTATAGGAAGAGGCCAAACCCCCAAACATACCAGCGATACAAAGATGCGAGAAACAATTATACAGCAGTAAGGAGAGAGGCAGAAAGAAATTTTGAAAAAGGGATAGCAGATAAATGTAAAACAGAACCGGGCCTATTCTACAAATTCATAAACAACAAATTGCAGGTAAAGGATAATATCCAGAGGTTGGAAATGGGAAACAGATTCACGGAAAATGAAAAGGAAATGTGTGAAACATTAAATGAAAAGTTCCAAAGTGTGTTTGTACAAAATGAAATCTTCAGAGAACCAGACACAATAAGAATTCCAGAGAACAACATAGAGCGGATAGAGGTGTCTAGAGATGAAGTGGAAAATATGCTAAAGGAGCTCGGGAGGAACAAAGCAGCTGGCCCAGATGGCGTTTCACCATGGGTTCTGAGAGAATGTGCATCTGAGCTCAGCATTCCACTTCACCTGATCTTTCAGGCATCCCTGTGTACAGGAATCGTAGCAGACGGGCGGAAACAGGCTAACATAGTTCCAATCTACAAAAGTGGCAGCAGGGAAGACCCCCTCAATTATAGACCTGTATCATTGACAAGTGTAATAGTGAAAGTATTGGAAAAGCTAATCAAAACTAAATGGGTAGAACACCTGGAGAGAAATGATATAATATCAGACAGACAGTATGGTTTTCGATCAGGAAGATCCTGTGTATCGAATTTACTCAGTTTCTATGATCGGGCCACAGAGATATTACAGGAAAGTGATGGCTGGGTTGACTGCATCTATCTGGACCTAAAAAAGGCTTTCGACAGAGTTCCACATAAGAGGTTGTTCTGGAAACTGGAAAATATTGGAGGGGTGACAGGTAAGCTTCTATCATGGATGAAAAATTTTCTGACTGATAGAAAAATGAGGGCAGTAATCAGAGGCAATGTATCGGAATGGAGAAATGTCACAAGTGGAGTACCACAGGGTTCAGTTCTTGCACCAGTGATGTTTATTGTGTACATAAATGATCTACCAGTTGGTATACAGAATTATATGAACATGTTTGCTGATGATGCTAAGATAATAGGAAGGATAAGAAATTTAGATGATTGTCATGCCCTTCAAGAAGACCTGGACAAAATAAGTATATGGAGCACCACTTGGCAAATGGAATTTAATGTTAATAAATGTCATGTTATGGAATGTGGAATAGGAGAACATAGACCCCACACAACCTATATATTATGTGAGAAATCTTTAAAGAATTCTGATAAAGAAAGAGATCTAGGAGTGGTTCTAGATAGAAAACTATCACCTGAGGACCACATTAAGAATATTGTGCAAGGAGCCTATGCAATGCTTTCTAACTTCAGAATTGCATTTAAATACATGGATGGCGATATACTAAAGAAATTGTTCATGACTTTTGTTAGGCCAAAGCTAGAATATGCAGCTGTTGTGTGGTGCCCATATCTTAAGAAGCACATCAACAAACTGGAAAAGGTGCAAAGACATGCTACTAAGTGGCTCCCAGAACTGAAGGGCAAGAGCTACGAGGAGAGGTTAGAAGCATTAAATATGCCAAAACTAGAAGACAGAAGAAAAAAGAGGTGATATGATCACTACGTACAAAATAGTAACAGGAATTGATAAAATCGACAGGGAAGACTTCCTGAGACCTGGAACTTCAAGAACAAGAGGCCATAGATTTAAACTAGCTAAACACAGATGCCGAAGAAATATAAGAAAATTCACCTTCGCAAATAGAGTGGTAGACGGTTGGAACAAGTTAAGTGAGAAGGTGGTGGAGGCCAAGACCGTCAGTAGTTTCAAAGCGTTATATGACAAAGAGTACTGGGAAGACGGGACACCACGAGCGTAGCTCTCATCCTGTAACTACACTTAGGTAATTACACTTAGGTAATTACACACACACACACAGCCTGGTGCCTCGTAGCCTGGTGCTGGGGCCTCGTAGCCTGGTGGATAGCGCGCAGGACTCGTAATTCTGTGGCGCGGGTTCGATTCCCGCACGAGGCAGAAACAAATGGGCAAAGTTTCTTTCACCTTAAGTGCCCCTGTTACCTAGCAGTAAATAGGTACCTGGGAGTTAGTCAGCTGTCACGGGCTGCTTCCTGGGGTGTGTGTGTGTGTGGTGTGGGGAAAAAAAAAAAAAGAAAAAAAAAATTAGTAAACAGTTGATTGACAGTTGAGAGGCGGGCTGAAAGAGCAAAGCTCAACCCCCGCAAAAACACAACTAGTAAACACACACACACATTGCCCAGTTGCTGGAAGGAGGCAAATGTCGTACCGATTTTCAAAAAAGGTGATAGGGAGGAGGCACTTAACTACAGACCCGTATCACTGACAAGCATCCCCTGCAAAATACTTGAAAGAATAATTAGGCTAAGACTTGTTGAACACCTGGAGAGCATTGGGTTTGTAAACAAGCACCAACATGGGTTCTGGACAGGGAAATCATGCCTAACAAACCTTTTAGAATTCTATGATAAAGTAACAAGGATAAGGCAGGACAGAGAAGGCTGGGCAGACTGCATATTTCTTGACTGCCAAAAGGCCTTTGATACGGTACCGCACATGAGACTGCTATACAAACTTGAGAGGCAGGCAGGAGTAAGCGGAAAGACCCTAGTATGGGTGAAGAACTACCTAACAGGAAGGAGCCAGAGGGTAATGGTAAGGGGCGAAAAGTCGGACTGGCGAACAGTAACAAGTGGAGTACCTCAAGGATCGGTGCTGGGCCCAATCCTCTTTCTAATTTACGTAAATGATATGTTTACAGGAGTGGAATCATACATGTCAATGTTTGCAGATGACGCAAAATTAATGAGAAGAGTTGTGACAGACGAGGATTGTAGGATCCTCCAAGAGGACTTAAACAGGCTGCAGAGATGGTCAGGGAAATGGCTACTGGAGTTTAACACCAGTAAATGTAAAGTTATGGAAATGGGATCAGGTGACAGGAGACCAAAGGGACAGTACACAATGAAGGGGAACAGCCTACCTGTAACGATTCGAGAAAGAGACCTGGGAGTGGATGTGACACCTAATCTAACTCCTGAGGCACATATAAATAGGATAACGACAACAGCGTACTCTACACTGGCGAAAATTAGAACTTCATTCAGAAACCTAAATGAGGAAGCTTTTAGGGCACTTTACACTGCCTACGTGAGACCCGTCTTAGAGTATGCCGCGCCATCATGGAGCCCCCACCTGAAGAAACACATAAAGAAACTGGAGAAGGTTCAGAGGTTTGCGACGAGGCTTGTCCCAGAGTTACGAGGGATGGGATATGAAGAGCGGCTGAAGGAACTGAACCTAACGACACTAGAGAAAAGAAGGGAGAGAGGAGATATGATAGGGACATATAAAATACTCAGGGGAATTGACAAAGTGGAAATAGATGAAATGTTCACACGTAATAATAACAGAACGAGGGGACATGGGTGGAAACTGGAAACTCAGATGAGTCACAGAGATGTTAGGAAGTTTTCTTTTAGCGTGAGAGTAGTAGAAAAATGGAATGCACTTGGGGAACAGGTTGTGGAAGCAAATACTATTCATACTTTTAAAACTAGGTATGATAGGGAAATGGGACAGGAGTCATTGCTGTAAACAACCGATAGCTAGAAAGGCGGGATCCAAGAGTCAATGCTCGATCCTGCAAGCACATATAGGTGAGTACATATAGGTGAGTACACACACACACACACCTCAGTGGCACCACATTCAGCTGCCCACAAAATTAAGTTTAGCTATTCAATGATGTGTAGTATGGGAAGGAGAGCGACATGGATTTAAAATGAACAATAGGACTTTTCGAATAATGGAAGTTTGGAAAGCAGGTCAGTCCCTATGGTACAAATGATAACATACATACAGGTACTGTATGCAAATATTTTTATTACAAATGCAAATTAAAAAGTACCTTTTTAACCTTTTCCTGCATTACTTGAATATTGTTTGTTTATTTCCACCGCAAATTTGAACGGTATTCAGTTCTGAATGTTTACAATTATCCAAATATCTTTTATCTGAAAAATATCCAGAATGTCGTCTGTATACAGTATTTGGATTATTATCTAGATCAATTTTCCTGTATTTATGTCTAACATTTGGATAAAGCAGTTCCAGATAATTGGGTTTCCTTTGTAATTATTTAAGAGTTTTGTAATTTCCATAAGCATAAAAAATAATTAGTAAAGTGTAATAATTATGGCATTTCCAAATATTTGTAATAAATATTTATAATTTTAAAACAAATAAAAATGTGATATTCAATGGCAACTTATTCAATGAAGAATCTCAAGAATGTTTCAGCATACAGTACTGTATTAAATAATAAAGTAGGGGTGGAAGGGAAGAAGAGGAAGAAAATACTCAAGTGTTCAGGGAGAATCTGCAAAGTCTTCTCTGAATACCCTTTATTCTCTTTTCCGAAGCTATGGGTCCCTACACTTGCACAGAGGTTGAACCCCCTATTTTATAATGGTGATTTTTTTTCTTAACAAGACAATCCAGTTTAGAGTCAAACTGAGGATGCCAACAGCCAAACGTTTCCTGTCAACTGTGTGTCCAATGCAATGTGATACTACGTCTGCTATGATGCATTTCTATGTCAAACGTCCACAAAGGGTTAAAGATATAAAATTAAAGATTACAACAAAATATAAAGTAATAATGCAATATTTTTATTATACAACACATCAATAACACAGTAAAATCATTATGAAAACAAAAAAAAATCTTTGTAAACCCATAAATAAATGTGATGTTGCACTGAAAAAAAAAGTACATTATCTACTGTATGTTGTACTTAATTACAAACATCATAATTTCCTGTTTTATACAGTAGTTTGAATCATTTATTCTGAAAGTTCTGTCAAGTTGGAAAAGTAATAAATTCTGTGAAAGTAGGAATCCACAAACCTCAGGAGCTCTGTAGTAACGGGTCACAACGTAAGGCGTCATCATAAACGTTGTTCCTGCTGTTCGGGCCAAACCAAAATCCAAAATCTTGAGTGTACAGTCAGACTTTACTACAATATTGCTAGGCTTCAGATCCTGAAAAAGATGTAAATACATACTGTACTGGTATTGTTAGATCCAATTTTCACACAACAATGTTACAGAGATTGCAGAAATTAAAAAAAATAATCAAAGTAATTAAACTAATAAAATTCTGCATAATTACAATATTTTGTGACAAATAATTTTCTATCATATTCCACCATTCCCTTAACTACAAGGTACATAAATCTACATCTACAAATCTACAAGGTCATAAATTACCCTATTTGCAAAAGGGAATTTAAAAAAAAAAGTGTTAAATGTAATGAAACGCCATTTTCTGGGTGAGCCCCCGGAGGCTCCCTGGAGCTATCGGGCTAATGTCTGATATATTAGACTGAGGCAATAGTCTAATGAGTTCGACCTATTGGGGACCACGAGCCAAAACCTGCCCCCCCCCCCTTCCCAGAGAGGTTTCAGGGAGCAAAAGCCCTGGAAAATCCCCTTGTGGTTGGGGTTTTCCTTATCTGCCATTGACCATAAACCCCATGTGGTAAGAAAAGTACAACAAAAAACCGAAGAGAGGGGTAGAACTCCCTCCAATCCCAAGGACACAAGCAAATATCACAATCAAAACATCAAGATCAAAACACTGAAACCCCCTGTGATGTGTACAATCATGGGGGGCCCTAGCAGAGGGCCACTAAAATAATAGAAGTGGAACTATAGCCACCTCAGGCAAACCCCCACCAGGCAAGAAAACAAAAACAAAAGAAAAACCCAACAAAAGCACATCATTTCCAGAGGAAACAGGAACCGGCTGCCGCATAAGTAGCCAAGCTGCACAACACCTTGACACTTCAACCAGCATGATATCATTCCCTACCTAAGGCCAGACTAGGGCCACGAAACTACTGCTGGCCCCAAGGCGGGGTAAATGCCAAGCTGCAAAAACCCCTACGGAAATCATTTCCCGAACGCACCAGGGAAGGGAACCCTAACACGCAAGGGCAGTACTCACAGGGCGTGTAGGAAATGATGCCCCAAAGCACATGCAACCCTGGCACTGATGAGGATCACCTGACCATCACACACAACACTGCACAGGTCGCCACGAAGGCAAAACCCCGTCTATGGAAATCAAGGCCTGAGAAGACGTCCGCCCTGGACCACATCAGCTAACAAACTGGAGTGCTGCGTAGCCAGTGTGGGACGAGAGAGCTGTGCGGACGAGCGGCGCTGCAGTAGAATGTGACGTTTGATTGTTTCCTTGGGATTGGAGGGAGTTCTACCTCTATTTTCAGTTTTTCGTTGTACTTTTCTTACCATGTGGGGTTTGCTTTGTCATGCCTACCTTTCCTAATCCCAGTCAATGGCAAATACGGAAAACCTCCAACCACAGAGGGGGGTTTTTCCAAGGCCATTGCTCCCTGAAACCTCTCTGAGGGGGCCCAGGTCCTGGCTCCCTGGTAGGTCGAACACCTTAGACTAATGCTCCAGTCTAATATATCACAGATCAGCATGATAGCTGCAGGGAGCCGAAGGGGCTCCCCACAGAAAGGTGGGGAGTTGTTGATTTTGAATTAAAATCAAAGAAAGGAAGTACAGTACAGTACTGGACTCTACTTGAGCAAAATTAAATGACCTTAAAAAACATTTGGTATATATGCGAAGCACGGCTTCTGCGGTTATCAACGATGGACATGTGGATACCTTCATAGGCCAGTGGCTGAAACTTCTGCAAAAGATTCTTCAAGTGTACCTTCTAATAAGGCCTTTCCAATATCTGTTCTTATTATCACACCCTTCAGAAAGCATCACAGATATTGGCATCACAGGTTAGTCAAACAATAGCCTGTTGAAGCCTCTTCACATACCACCACTGTCTCTAATTTTTATTCAGCTACAAAATTATAATATGCATAATAACTGTGTCTGTCATCACAGCATCATCATGTGAATAAGGAACTGTTCATCATTAAAAAATTATCAAGCATTGATTATAATGAAACACTTTTCTGGGGAGCCATAGTAGCTCCTTGGTGAAATGGCTTTGGTACTGCAGACATCCACAAAACTACCAGACCTCTGCACTTGTGCAGGGCTACCCAACATCACCACCAGAAAATGGTGTACTCATGGAGGCAAGGGGAGCATGCGATCCAAGATCAATACAAAAAAGTAAACTGTCCCAGGAATTACAAGTGAAACCAACCTTTATATTTAAGAAGGAAAGTATAAAAATAATACAAATAAGGGAAGTGGTAATTTGACCAATGCCAACAAGCCATGAGCCAGTGCCCAAAGACACCACAATGTAGAAAGACGAACATTTCATATGAAAGGCATAGCGTATCAGACTAGAGAAATAATTACCACTTCACCAAGCCAACATCACGACATTCTTCATACATCAAAAGATTACTTCTAGGAGAAACAAGCATGCATGCCAAAAGGAACATGGCCTTTAAGAAATATTATAATACAAAACATGGTATGAAAGGTAAACAGGATGCATCAACTGGATTAGTTTTCAAACACTTGAGTAACAAAAATACAGTAACAAAAATACCATCTTATGACACGATGAGCTGCCATTTACCGTGTTCAGCAACAACACTGCATAATATCCATATCAATGCAGCTTATTTAACAGAGTTCCCATCAGTTACAGCAGAAACTGACAGCTTATCATACATATTTACACCAATCACAGCTAGTAGCTGTGGATGGCACAGTCACATATAACAATAAACATTTAGGAGTTTATTAGCTTGTCTGACAAGCAATGAATTGACACAATAAATGTTAAACAAAGTAGTGAGACTAGAGCGTAACTAACCCTGTGTATGATGCCAGCAGAGTGAAGGTGCTTGATACCACACAACATCTGGTACAGTAAATACGACATGCGTTCATGATCAAGGTCCATTTGTATAACTTGACACAAGTTAGCATCCATTAATTCCATTACTAAATACACATCTTGAAATTCATCCAAAGACTTTTGAGGTGTGAAGGCATTTAAGAGTCCAATTATCTGAAAACACAATTTAATTAAAAGAATTTTTATTGAATTTTAACATAACCTTAAAAAGTTAGTATTCTGGAAATGGTGTATGGAAATTCCATGGGAAAAGGATGGTAAGCAAACTTTTCAGAGAATGTGTGTGTTAGATGGCATGAGGCAGGTTGAGGAGGTATGGTGGTTCTTTATTACCATGTTAGCTCACTACTGACTCAACCCCTACTATCTTTTTGGCCATTTTACACATTGAAAAGGGCAGTAGTCAACAAACCAGTGTTAAATGTAATGAAACGCCATTTTCTGGGCGAGACCCGGAGGCTCCCAGGAGCTTACTAGGCTGATATGCTATTGTCAGACTTTGGCATCAGTCATGTGTATGGAGTTCTGTGGGTCTACCGAGGACCACGAGCCAGAACCTGGCCCCCTCAGAGAGGTATGGGGGAGCAATGGCCTATAGAAACCCCTGTGCGGTTGGAAGCATTCTATGTCTGCCATCGACCGAGTCAGGCACCCAGAAAGGTAAGCATCCCAAAACAAACCCCAATTCTGATGAAAATATTGCTACCAAAAGCCGAACAAGTGGATAGAACTTCCCTAAAATAAACGAGCGTGACATCACACGTCGCCGAGCTGCTATCAGCAGCTGGCCTATAGAAACTGCGCAGCAGTTTCTAAAGGCTATTGCTCCCCATGCCTCTCTGAGGGGGGCCAGGTTCTGGCTCGTGGTCCTCAGTAGGCCCACAGAACTCCACATACATAACTGATGCCAAAGTCTGATATTAGTATATCAGCTAGTAAGCTCCGGAGAGCCAAAGGGGCTCCCCCCAGGAAAATACAGTTTTGGGAATCATTATAGTGTTTAGATTGAACTGTTCCAATATTTTGTTAACTGTAATGTATATTAAGCATATAGTACAGTACTTAATGTTGGAAAAGCTCCTATTAATTGCATTCAGTTTGTCATATTGTGTTCTCTCCACCCCAGGTATTGCCAAGAACATCCATATGTGCATGCCTGAATATATTTTGTGTACATAATTACCTTAGTTACAGGATGAGAGCTTTGCCCATGGTGTCCCATCTTCCCAGTATTCTTTGTCATAAAACACTTTGAAACTACTGACAGTTTTGGCCTCCACCACCTTCTCACTAAACTTAGTGAAACTAAGTCTCTTAAATGAATGTGACTTAGTCTGTGGGCTATGTTGACCTACTAAAAACTGAATGTATGACCACATGCCATTTCCTTGTGCTGGTGAGGGTTCAAACTCTCATAACTTTCATTTTTTTTCATATTTTTTTTTATATACTAGTATGTCCTTACTTATGAGTTTGAAGAATGTCTAATAGTGAGAATAACCAGACTAAAGCAGGTAAAGGTAAGAGGAGGTTTTAATCATGAACCAAATACAGTGGAACCTCAATTAACGAATTTAATCCGTTCCGGCACCTAGCTCGTCATGTGAAACGCTCGTCTTTCAAAATGAATTTCCCCATTTAATATAATGGAAATAAAATTAATCCGTTATACCACTGAAAAACATCAATATGATATTTGATTTTTTAAATAATGGAGAAGCCTACCTGACATACACTAAACAAACCTTTATGACATTTTTCTTTTTTCAAATTTGTTCAATTTAATTTTTTATTTTTTCATTTCTTTTTAAGAAAATGGAGCAGCCAACTTGACATACACTGAACAAACCTTTATGACATTTATTTTTTTTTGCAAATCTGAAAAAAGACAAAGGAGAAATATCATAAAGGTTCGTTCGGTGTTTGTCAGATAGGATGCTCCATTATGACATTTCTTCTTGTTTTCAAATTTTATCAATTTGTTTTGTATTTTTCATATTTTTTATTAATAATGGAGCATCCTACCAGACAAACTGAATGATCCTATGATATTTGTCTTGTTTCAAATTCTTTCAATATTTTTTTGTTTCAATTTTTTTTTAAATGGAGCAGCCTACCTGACAATCACTGAACAAACCTTTTTGACTTTTTTTCAAATTCTTTTATTTTTTTGTATTTCTCATTTTTTTTTTTTAGAAAATGTAGAAGCCTACCTGACATTCACTGAACGAACATTTTTGACATTTGTTCTTTTTTCTAATTTTGTCTAAATAACAAAAATCAATGCTTTGCAACGTTACAGCAGTCACCCCCTTTACATCCCAGCATCACTACCATCTTTAAAACAAACAAAAACGGTTATTTGCATCGTCAGAGGTGTCTGAGAATTTGCGAGAACCAGCGGGAACACTAGGAAGCATCATGTGTTTTTCTTGTTAATCAAGCAAAAGCTTGTCAATCGAGACAAATTTTCGCCAAGTGGCGCGCTCATTATTCAAAATGCTCACAGATTGAGGCACTCGTCACTTGAGGTTCCAATGTACCTGGTTCACAAGTCAAGCCTTGTCATGGGCTGAGATTGGGGAGTAGAACAACTCTCAGAACCTCATCAAGGTATAATCCAGGTACAAATGTTGGATTTATTGGAGAAAGGATTATGGTTGGGGGTGAAGAGGCTGGTAGACAAGTCTGGCAATGACACAAGCACTGCTGTATATCTGACAAAAAGCAGCAAGGGAAGATTTTGGAGATCTGCTACGAGAGTTCGGGTGGCACAAGTTCCAAGATAAATGCTCAGAGCTTCAAATTATGACACCATAGACAAGGCAGTTTACAAATGGTTTATGAAGCACAGTGTGCTTGTGTGGGTGCTGAGCAAATCATAGCTGTAGCAAAAAAAAAAGTTCTTTATAACATGGGCATTGAGGATCTAATTGGCATTCAATTAGTAAGATGCAGATGTAAAACTAAGTGCTGATAAAACAAGTCTAGTTTAGAGAGGTATGCCACTTAATATATGCCGCTAATAGTGTAGGTGAATATGATTAAGGTTACCCAAGAACATGTTTCAACTATGGTGTGTGCTAATGCAGACAGCTCACACACAGACTGAGGGGTTTCACTTTTAAGTAAGGTTGCAGAGCCGAAACCATAAACTTCCCGTGCTCTACCACCATTCAAGAAATGGTTTATCTCATCACGATATACTTTTTGGGCTTGTTTCAACAGCATCTTTGAAAAGAAGTAAATGAATTCCACATAAAAGAAAATGGACTAAAGTTAAACAAGATGCAGGCATTATTGCTGTGGTATATTGCAGTTGCACATTATTTTGTAAACAACCTGAAATCACTTCCCAAGTTGAAAGTCAAGTGAAGGTCTCTAGAGCAGTGCTAGTGGCAGGTCAAGACTAAGTTTTATTTTGATTGCTCTTCAAAATACAAGAAAATTCAATTTAAACTTTTTTTTTTATTTACATAAAGAAGCTTGCTTAAATTTGAAACATAATTACAGTACAGTACTGTCATCCTTCTATTTATGTACTTCCAATTTACTTCATATCAATTTGCATCCATTGACCTTTTAACATAATCCTTGTACTGTATATGGAATGAATAAAAAATGAGTAACCTGTAAAGACATTAAACTTATATTTTTGTAACTTTTCAATGTGCAGGCCAGTTATTAATATTTCTTAAATTTTGTAGTAGAGTAATAAATCAAGCATTGAACATAATGAAACACCCTTTTCCCGGCAAACCCTCAGTAGCTCCCCGGTGCTTACATGCCGGTGCCGCTAGGCCACTGTGCCAGGCCTCTGACACACCACCACCAACACCACCACAATCTTGCTCTCTCTACAAAGTGAGGGGGGGAGCTTGGGGATTATTTTGCTGTCTCCACACAGTGAGGGGAGCTTAGGGATTATCTTGCTCTCTCTCTACAACATGAGGGGGAAGCTTGGGGATTAGAGATATATCCAAAATGAAGAAAACCAATGAGAAAGGTTATGCAAAACAGAACAAGCTACCGCTTAAAAGAAATTTTTTTAAATGGGGTAACAAAACAAAATACTGTTTGCAGTGGGTTAACAACCGTAACCCATTGCTCCTAGCCATCATATGGATCTCGGGTCCAACATCTATACATTTCAAAAGGCATTAGTATGGAACCCACAAAAAATCCACAGTGAAGCAGGGAAAAAACAGGGTAAGGATAGAAAGTTACTGAGGGCCTACCAGAAAAGAAGTTTTTCATTACATTAAACTCTTATTTCCAGGAAGGTTTCCTCAGAAGCTTCCCAGTGCATATTCCCAACAGTGCCTCAAAGAGAATGAATTTTCTTGAAAAAGAACACAAGATTTGTAGAATCAGAGAATACAGACATGTCAGATAACAGCAAAACTAACAGCAAAAAAGATGTTTGAGAGGAGAATCAGATGCATACTCAAGAGACACTAAGGTAAGGCAAGGCTATGGAACATCCAATAAGTAGTGAAAAACCAACACCCTGTTTGGACGTAATTTGAAATGAAATTGACTCACAAAAGTGACATACTGTTCCGTTTTCTGTTCGAGTCGTCCGGCCCTCCTCGGACAGCTTAGAAGAGAAACTTTCAATTAACGTTTTTCATAACGTTTTGAAACTTTATGAGAATTTCCTGCCCAACTAACCTATCAGAGGACCCTTAACTTACTGTTGTTGAAAAAAAAATCCCAAATTTATTTTCAATTTTTTCATTTTCAAATTACGTCCATATTCGGCCATACGGGTAAACGGCCAAAAACGACGTTCTTTTTAAGAGGACAGGTTGCCCACCAGTTTGGAGACTGGGCAAAGGGAAGAAACAACTGCTGACCGGAAGGAGGGAGGATTCCAGGGGACCCTCCAGGATTCACCCAGAAATTGGCATTTCATTACATTAAATGCTGGTTTTCTGAGGAGAGCCCTTGGAGCTATATACCCAAAGATAAGTAAAAGAGGGACTAACCCGGGAGGCAGTAGAATCGCACATCTCACGAGGAAGACTGGACCACTGGTCGAAGGCAGGACCGTAGCCAGAGCAATGCAGCAGGGGAAAGATACGGACGTTGTCCGAGAATACCAAACAAGGCCAAGCCAAATCCGAACCCAGGACAGAACCAATTGGGACTAACTCCAAACTACCAGGAACCCGAACCCAGCAAGCTGGGAAAGAACCAGAACCCAGCCAAGCAAAGCAGCCGATCGGCAGGGAGTCCACACCAGCCAGCCAGCACAGTAGGCTGCCTGCCAGGAAAACACCGGAACAGAGGATCGTAACCGACTAGTGCAAGAGAAACCAAACTCAAACAAAGACTGGACCCAACACCAAACCTGGTCACAGAGGAGGCACAAGCCGAGAGCCTCCCAACCCCCACAAGGGAAAGCAGAGAGGCTGAAGACTTCCAAAGGAAGACTCTGAAAACCCAAGGGCACCCGGAAAGAGCAAAGAAGACAAACAAGAGTTTGGAGAATCCCGCACAGCCACAAGCTCGTAAAATGGTGCATGCAGGATCAGAAAAAACGTCCAAAACCTCAAAACAAAGCCTCCCAAGGTGTGGAAAAACAGATAACCATGCACTGCAGGGGAAAACAGAAGTAACATGTGAGGATAGAACCCAGGTCAACCCCACCATGGCCAAGAACATAAAAATCAAGACAAAACAGACAAGCAGCAATCCTAGTCTATCACCGAGGGCACACAGAAGCACAATACACGGCATGGGTAAGGGTAACATACCCCCAGTCACCAGAGCCTCAACAGGGGTTTCCAAGGCCCGCAGGGAGATGAGTCCCAACAGGAAGCCCAGGCACTAGTGCTGGCAAAGCTGATTGAACTCTGTTTATTGACTGGGCAAAGCGGTCCCTATGAAGGGAGCAACATCTGGGACCAAGTGGAGGACCACCAAATGAAACCTAGGCATACCTAATGGGAAGCCTGGCAGCCCTCCACCAGGCAGGAAAAAATTAAAAAAAGAAGAAAAAGAACCCTAAAAGAGTCCCATAACAACAGGAGACTGGAGAGAAGCACAGCTGCCGCTGTTTATGCAAGCTGTGCAGCACCATGCGCCCCAACCAGCAACAAATACTCCCTACCCAGGGCCAAATGAAAGCACCAAGACCTAAGCTGACCCCAAGGGCAAGGCAGAAGCCAAGCGATCGCTACCTCATACAGGAGTGGGAACCCGAAAGTACCAGGAAAGAAAACCCTGAAACCCAAGGAAAGTACTTACAGGGTGCCCAGGGAAAGGCACCCTCTTTGTGCCTGTGTGTACTAAGTGTATACAGCCCCAGTACTTGTCACTTCTTGCCAACGCTCCAACACACAGCAGGCGTCAAAATCCTGACAGGCAATCGTGACCAGAATAGACATCAGCCCCAGTTGCCTTCAGTAGACAAACTGGTGGGTAGACAGCCGCCAGTTTGGGGCGGGGCCTCCCCCTCACCCCCTCCCCCCCTGGGTGTGGGGGGTAGGGGTGGAGGGGGCAGAGGGAGGGGGGGTAGGGAGGGAAAGGGGGGAGAGAGAGAGAGAGAGGGAGAATTTGTTCATGACAAAAGACGTGAAAAATTTCTGTAGTATTTCGCCATCCATGTATTTAAAAGCAATTCTGAAGTTAGAAAGTGTGGCAATGTTCTTTATGTGGTCCTCAGGTGATAGTTTTCTATCTAAAACCATCCCTAGATCTCTTTCTTTATCAGAATTCTATAAAGATTTCTCACATAATTTGTAGGTTGTGTCGGGTCTATGTTCTCCTATCCCACATTCTATAAGATGGCATTTATTCACATTAAATTCCATTTGCCAAGTGGTGCTCCATACACTTATTTTGTCCAGGTCTTCTTGAAGGGCATGACAATCATCTAATCACAATCATCTCCACTTCCTTGTTTTCCCTGTTACATCTCCAAACCGAGTAGCCCTTTGGGAATACGACCTCATTTAAAATATTTTCTTCATGTTTTGTCACTGTTAATTAACGTGACAATATCTGGGACCTTGAGCTGAATTATATCCTTCAACTCCAATATTTTTTATCTCACTCCATCTATGTTGGTAGAGTATATACTATTTTCAGGAACATGTTCCTCTTTCCTGTGTGCTTTACACCCCCTTCTTCTAATGATTTTGTTGTTTTGTCTTTATGTACCATTTCACTAGCTCTCCGGTCCCTAATACTCTGTAAAAAAAGAATTCCTTTTCTTTTCATTTCTATCCTCATTTAGACATTTCTCTTCAATGAGGTTCATTTTCAGCGTTGCTCTGTCCTCTGTTGAGAGGTCTTGTCTTATTGACCAAAGTTTGCCACCCTCATCACACTGCAATTTTCTGGTATTTCTAAGCACTTCTGTCACATACAGTATTTCACTCCATTAAATGTCACTCTTAAGGGGATGTTCTTGGCTTTCTCATATTTTCCTATCCTCCTAAAATCAAAATTAAAATAAAATTTCATTTGAATTTAGGCCATCTCCTAATCCTACTAATTTTTCTATGATTTTCATCTCTTCTGCTGCTCTGTCCACCATAGGTGAATTTTTCTTTCTCTAAAGACTTCTCTAAATGTGTTTGTGTGCATGTGCGCACATGGGTGTACGTGCATGACACCCACCACTATGAGGCATTAATGTTAAAGAAATAACAAGCAGGATGAAGCTAACAAACATGGGCTGTGGTAAGATAAGCATTTATCCTACAAACAAGGTTTATAATACATCTGTTCCATTACCCTGTAAAGTGTATAACAAAAAAGCCAAGTGCATAATGTCAATATATATTTGTTTTAATTTTAAGCAAACTCATTCAAACATTCAGACATTCCTAAGATACTATATATATGGAGACAAATGAAAAATTAACACATTTTAATAAACAGGGCAAAAGCCAAATGGTACCTGCCCAGCTGTTTACATAATTGCAATTATCTGCAGAATGTGTGGGAGAAGTATTTGTGAAATTTAGCTAATCTTTAATATTTACATTATTTGTCTGAAGTTATTAATGTTCCAAAGTTATCAAAACATGAAAGCAAAGTTTTATAGTATTCATAAAAGTGTCCTAGGCAAAGTATGTGGCAGATCTTATCTACAGGTTTGGACACCTTCAAGTTCAAGAAAACACAGGCACACATCCAAGCATTTTGTAATAACAAGGCAGAGTTTGCATGAAGATGTGGGAGTGGGAATACTCACATTCTTGTGGTTGACGAGCTTCATTAGTTTGAAAGATGTGGGAGTGGGAATACTCACATTCTTGTGGTTGACGAGCTTCATTAGCTTGAACTCCCTGTAGGCCCGCTTAGCATGTGTCACGTTCTGGAAGGGCCTCGAGAGTTTTTTGATGGCAACATTTTGTTGGGTGACCGAGTCGTACGCTGCGCTGTAATGTGCATGTCTCCTTCACTCTCATGCAAACACACATTCATGGATCACTTTTATACACTTAACATTAGGGATAACTACTATAACTGTCCTTCTTTGGACCTTGCAGTATATTTATCGTTACAGAAAACAACTTTCAACATATTCAATGCAAACATAACATTGCCAACGAAAACTTGTTTCCAAAGATCTAAAAATAAAGTTCTTTTGTATTTTAATCATTATATTTATGGTATCTAAATTATGCAATTATTCTTTTTTATTACAAAAATTTACTGACCAGACAATGCCCTGAGCACCAGAACCTATAGGCTTGAGGTTGGTGTAGCGCCTGAGGATGGTGAAGCGTGTATCGCCCACCTCCACCGTGTAGAAAAGATTAGAATTGCCAGGCGTGGCCATCTTAGGACTTGGCCGGGGGCTCAGGAGCGGCATAGGGACGTCTGGCAGGGTGCTCCTCGCCTCGCTAAGCTTGCTTACCTCCACCACGCTGATTTTGCTCAGCCAATCAACCAAAAATTTAAGCGCCTTCTGAGAAGGTGCTACTATGCTTTCGCTATCTTGCTTGTCTGACCTACCAGCCCTTTTCCTTGTCTTCTTGGCAGGACTGATCCACAGTCTTGCCGAGGGATTTCCTTTGGAATTCTTTGGGACTTCCAACGTGATATATATTACGCAGAAACTGCGATACAGCTCTATCTTCTTTATAAATGTATATTTTGCCAGGTCTTCATTCACTACCCAAAGGAAAGTGATAGAATTGTAGTTTGGCTGATTTTCTTCCAATTTATGTATTTTGAGAGTAGTATGTGAGCAACCAAGAGGAACTGTATTAAATGAAATATAGGAGGTTGAGCAGCCTCACTTGCTGCACCAACAAGGGGCACCACCATTGATCACCACCACAGTTGCTGGGTGTGCCATTACTCCGTCACCAGCACACATGCCGTAATACAGAACCTTCCTCTCGCTGCACCAGTGGGACCTCTTACACGCCTCCACCGTCCTTCACCGTCATCCTTCACTATTGGTCTTCACGCAGCCAATGACAAACTTCACCGTCCTTCCTCACACCTGTAACAAAAAATCATGTGTCACGAACATTGTGCCTCACAAGTATTATCACACACTTCATATTACAGCAACATTATTATTAGCCAGATGCCCTTGATTACCTAGGCCAAAGAGACCAAGTATCCTTGGTCTCCTAGGCCAGCATATCTTGTTACAAATAATATAAAATATTCTTAAAAATTCCAATGCATTGTAGTTGCTTCTTTCAACTCCCCAATCAATCATAGAGTACAATGAAAATAGGAAGTGCAATGATTATAGCAAGTGACAAAAATATTCAAGGTCCCTTCCTTTCCAGTAAGGAGAGATGTATCCACTCAATGTGCAAGGAACATTGCTCAACCCAGTCATGGGTCTGAATCCACAACTACCCAGCCAGAGAAGCAAGAAGGTGAAGCTCCCTCATGTTGCTAGATATTTGTAAGCCATGCGAGTACAGTGGGGTAATGAGTATGTACAAGGATATAATTAGAATGTGACTGCAATAAGTACAGGAAATCCCACAAGTACACGGAGTGCAATGATACAAGGAGTGTAACAAGTACAGGCTGTTTGAAATATGTACAACTGCAGTAGTGTTAGATACTTATACAAATTGCTGTATTAATTATACATACTGAATATAAGTGGGCCCTCACAAAACTGGACCCCATGCAGAGGATCTCTCTAAATAATAGACTAAATATTAAAAGTGAACATTAAAGTTACAGTAATATATTTATAAATATTTTTAAAAGAGAACGTACATCTGTCTCTCTGAGATTGGAGGCCAAATGCCTGGGGTTAATTTCACCCAACTTTCCAAGATATCACATATGGGTTATGGTGGTATTCACCAGTCGGGTGTCCAGGAGGGGAGAGGAGATTGAGGAGAGAGTGGAGAAACAGGGGAGATTGGGAGTTAGGGAAGAGGGGATGAGAAAGGAAAAGAGGATAAAAGTGAGAAAGGGGAGGAAAGGTAGGGGGGCAAAATGATGGGGAAGAGGTGGGGGGAGAAAGGTGAAGAGGGTAGAAGAGGGAGAGGAGAGGGGAGGGGAAGAGAGGGAATGTTGTGGGAGCAAGGAGGAAAAAGATAGAGGTGGTGAGGGGGAAAAAAGAGGTGATAGAAGAAGGGTAAGAGATGGTGGGGAAATGGAGGAGAGATTGGGAGAGGGGGAATACTGGGAGACGGGGAATATTGGGAGGGAGGAGGATGGGAGATTGAGTGAGGGGGAGAATGAGAAGAGGGGAAGATTGGGAGAGAGGTGAAGAGGAAGAGGATGGTGAGAGGGAACATTGCACAGCCAGTTACCACATCTAATACTTCATATATTCTGTCCTCCATTTAACACATTCCTCTAGAAACAAAAACTGCCTACCGAATATTGCCTTCTTATTTTGTAATTGTCAAAAACATATGAAGAACAAAAAGGGGTTCGTCTCAAAGCGCTCCAAATGTACTCACTACAAAGGAGAGGAGAGAGATACCAAATAATATACAAAGGAAAATACTGGAGGGCCAAGAACCAAACCTACACAGTAAAATAACAACGTACTGGAGTAAACGATATGGAAGAAAATTCAGAATAGAACCAGTTAAGAGCAGAGGTGCCATAGGCACAATCAGAGAACACTGTATAAACATCAGAGGTCCGCGGTTGTTCAACATCCTCCCAGCGAGCATAACAAATATTGTCGGGACAACCGTGGACATCTTCAAGAGAAAACTAGATTGTTTTCTTCAAGGAGTGCTGGACCAACTGGGCTGTGGTGGGTATGTGGGCCTGCGGGTCGCTCCAAGCAACAGCCTGGTGGACCAAACTCTCACAAGTCAAGCCTGGCCTCGGGCCGGGCTTGGGGAGTAGAACAACTCCCAGAACCCCATCAACCAGGTATCAACCAGGTTTCCACTATAAAATTTGGATCTATTTCCAGTAGAACTAATTTTGTTCTAAAGTTTTACAACTCTTGTTGTTTTCATATTTGAGGGGAGTGAGAACATGAAAATGTAAAAAAAAAATATTCTGAAAATGATTATGAGAATATCTCCCAAGTTATTAATGTGAACAGGTTCTCAAGACATTTTATAGGTGATCTTAAAAAGCGAAGCCCTAGGCCGAAGCTCAAGGTAATGTAACCGACACCGGGGGCGCCTCGGCCGACACCGGGGGCGCCTCGGCCGACACAAGGTAGTGTGTCACTTCGACTGACAACTTCAGCCAGGAGTAAATGAAACTAGTCGGGACAGCACCGTAGAGTATGTGGTTCTTGTGCCGTCCTCTCATTACTCCCCCCCCCCCACACACACACACACACACAGCCATCCCATCCGGCCACCCTCCGTACCACCCCACCACCACAACCCCCCAGCAGCGACCAACTACCGCATAAATAACGGTAGACCTACTACCGTTATTTATGCTAGTTCGCACTTCAATGAGCTTATGGTCTGAGTCTGTACGTATCTGAGATTGTAATGTCTCTGATTAGTTTATCATTGTTTGTGAATAACAAGTCTAGT